TTGGCTAAGTAGAACAGGACTGTGGGAAAGTGACTCAGCTGCACTGGAGGTAGAAAAACAAGTTCTGTAACCATTATGTGTTCACATTGTGGTGTATGGTGGTTATTGAATTATGTGTTATATATTTAATATGTTATGGTTTTTATATATATATATATATAATATGTTATGGTTTATATATATAATATGTTATGGTTTATATAAATATATATAAATAAATAAAAATAAATAAATAAATAAATAAATAAATAAACAAATAAATAAATAAATATATATATATATATATATATATATAAAATATGTTATGGTTTAAAGCTATGTAACTGATCATGGGCTAACTGTGTGAAAAGGCCTGGTTTTTGCAATACAGAACCTCTCCTTCGCACCTGCCTGGAGATCCTGTGTCACTACGGAGCCTCACCCACAGGAATTCTGACAGCATCCCAGAATGGATTGGGTTGGAAGGCACCTCCAAGGCCATCCAGCTCCATTATCCCAGTGTGCTCCAGCCTGGCCTTGAACTTCCAGAATCCCCATCTCTCTGGTCTATTATTTATATGTGGCCACAATCTATTTTAGCAAAAGCTGGTGGACTCAACCCTTCAAACACCTCCTAACCCCAGACACGTGGAGACCCTGCTCTCCCAGCTAAGTCAAATCTCTGTCCTTTTCCAAGGGAGGTACAACAGGATCCAGGTGTAAATGGATGCAGGTGAAGTGTCCCAGAAGCAAACTTGACCTTTATGTACTCACTTGTCACAGGTATTGTGTGATTTTCCTCAGTTCAGGCCAGGTGGGGCAGCTCAGCACCCAGAGCATGGCAGTGTCAGGATGTTTGCACAGCTCTGGGTCAGGTAAAAACCCCATTTTACACCTGGGTGAAACGATGGCTCAGATTAACCAGGCCAAGTCCATGCAGGAGCTCTGAGAGAACCCAGCCTGTCCCCTCCCTGCTCAAAAAGCGTGTCAGGTACTCTCCCCCTCCCTAATGCCTCCTCATATATTGGACACAAACCTGAAAGGGGGCCTGCTTGGGGCCACTCTGCACCATTTCTCTGGGAAATGCATCTCAGGATCAGATTTTCACCTTGCTTGGTGCTTCGCCAACAGCTCCTGGACACCTGTAGGACACTTACCACTGGCAGGGCTGATGATGAGACAGAAACCTCAGGGGAAGATGTTTCTGCCATTAGAACACACACTTTCAGGCAAGTTACCTTGATCCTTTGTGGTTTTATGATGTGCACAAGACAAGGACCAGCACATCAATGCACTCTGCAGTCCCAGAGGGAAGTGCAGTCATTTATTTGATGACAAAAAGTAAGAGATCTGCTGTCATGGACAGAACCCCCAGGAGCAGAAGTCACTTCATTCCCTGTAAGCTCACAAACAGCATCTACCTCTGCACTTGTGGGTGTCTGAGTCTGTTATTTTGGAACAAATGCAAACTGAAGTCTGGGTTTTGGGTAAACCCAGTCTCCTATTTAAAAAAAAAAAAAAAAATCGCAGAATGATTTGGATTGGAAGGGACATTAAAGCTCATTTTGTCCTTACCATGGGCAGGGACACCTTCCACTGTCCCAGGCTGCTCCCAGCCCCATCCAGCCTGGCCTTGGGCACTGCCAGGGATCCAGGGGCAGCCACAGCTGCTCTGGGCACCTGTGCCAGGGCCTGCCCACCCTCACAGGAAAGAATTTCACCTCAATATTTAATCTAATTCTATCCTTCAGCTTAAGGCCGTTCCCCCTTGTCCTGTCCCTGCACGTCCTTGTGGAAATCCCTTCTTCATCCTTCCTGGAAGCTCCCTTAGGTGCTGGAAGGTGAGCTCTGGAAATGAGTGCCACGTTAATGGCCTGGCTCCTCACAAAGACAGGCTGGCTCCCAAACTCAGACCCCAGCCCAGCAATTGGTTTCCAAACTCAGACCCCAGCCCAGCATTTGGTTTCCAAACTCCCAAACTCAGACCCCAGCCCAGCATTTGGTTTCCAAACTCCCAAATTCAGAGCCCAGCCCAGCATTTGGTTTCCAAACACCCAAACTCAGACCCCAGCCCAGCATTTGGTTTCCAAACCCCCAAATTCAGACCCCAGCCCAGCATTTGGTTTCCAAACTCCCAAACTCAGACCCCAGCCCAGCATTTGGCTTCCAAACCCCCAAACTCAGACCCCAGCCCAGCATTTGGTTTCCAAACCCCCAAATTCAGATCCCAGCCCAGCATTTGGTTTCCAAACTCAGACCCCAGCCCAGCATTTGGCTTCCAAACTCCCAAACTCAGACCCCAGCCCAGCATTTGGTTTCCAAACACGCCCAATGTTTCTTTGGTTCTCTCTCTTAATTCCCATCGCCTTTTCTTTCTTTTTATTTACTTCTTAATTTCCATGGGTCTTAATTTCCTGCAGGCCGAGCCCCGCTGAGCCCAGGCAGTGCCTACATGGGATTGCCCTCCACAGCCTTTCCCTGCTCAGGGAAAGGTCAGGGACGGAGGTTAGTGTGGCGAGAAGAAAGGCAGCAGCAGCCAGACAGAGAGCTCTCATAAAGGTCTGGCTGTGAGCCTCTCTGAGAAAATGTCAGCTTGGGGAGGCTGTAACAGCTTTAATCTGCAGTACAGGGGGATTAAAAGACTCGTTCTCACAGGACAAAAGGGAACGGAGGGAGCGGAAGGAGCGGGACAAGGGGAGAATGAAGCCTGCGAGGGGAGGAAGGGAGAAAGTTAAAGAGCTCAACTCTAAAGAGCATCGGGGCTTAAAGTGTAATAAATGTGAAGTGGCCTGCACAGAAAAGGGGCTCTGGCCAATGGCTTGGCTTTGCTTTTTCACACTAAGCACACACACTTCAGGCTGCTGCAGGCAAGGCAACTTGTTATGTTTGGCTTTGTTGATTTTCAGGGGCAAAGGAGTAGGAGGGGGAAGCAGAAGGTTAATGAGCTCTGCCAGACGCGACACTCCAGAGGAGCAGTGGGCACTCTGTGTTTTAAACAGTGCTTTAGGGGCTTTGATCCTCACCCTGCTGCCCCTCAAACCCTCCTTGTCCTCGAGGGGCAGAGTGGAGGGGCCTGGGAACAGGAAGGAAGTGCTGGAATTGCGGGATGCTGTCCTCAAGTACTGCTTGAGCAACCTTTGTACCGTCAGCAAGAGCGGGACTGAAAGGGTAAGGAAAGAAGGGGACTTTAAATACTTTTCAAAAGGAAAAAACCCAAGAAACAAATCAATGCAGTAGTCGCAGGAGATGTAAAGGCCAAGGAGGCACCAACACACACAAGGAGCTGTGCTCCAGCAGGGAAAGCAGAACTCCAAACCAGCTCAGGCACTGCAGGAAATGGGGGCTCGCAGGGCTGGAAAATCAACACAGGGCTGCTCTGGGTTTGGACATGGCAAATGATCTTGAAGGCAGGAGGACTTTTCCCCCATCAAGGATGTATTTTTGTCTCCCAAAATCTTTGAAGAAATGATAGGAGAGGAGGGTAAGACACCCAGGAGTTCTGAGTTTCTCCCATGAACAGGTTTCCAGCAGGCACTGAATTAACCAGGGCTGTAAGAAGCTCTCTCATCTTCCACGTTACCCACCTTCCCAGCTCCACAGCCTTACAACCAGGAGAGATGCTCCAGGAGAACACCAGGCACAGTCAAATAAATGTCTAAATGCCTTGTTTTAGCAGCCCAGCACTGTGCTGGGGCCTGGCTGGTGCTCTGTGCACAAATTCTACTGAGAGGGGGGAAAAAACCAACTTTGTAACATAATAAGTAAGTTCCAGACAGGAATTAAAGAGCATAGCATATCCAGTGGAGACAGGGGCTGCAGTGGCATTAAGGTAGGAAGAATATAATTACCTGACCTGGAGTGTGGCCAGGATAATGGAATTCATTTACTTCAACAAAGCCAGAAGTGCCAAAACCTGCGTTTTCCATTTAAACCCAGAAGATGGCAAATCACAGCCCCCTGATTTCATTCCTCCAACTTTTGGCTGGATGGAACAGTCTTCCTGATAAGGGTGAAAAATTAACACCCACCTGACGAGGCCACAATGGAAGAGCTGACCCTCAGCTTCATTTGGGAAGCCTGGTGGCATCCCAGTGCCATTCCAGGATCCCGAGGCAATGGCTGCATCCTGCAGCCCCCAGAACATCCTCCCACTGCCCACGGCTGCGGTGAAACCACGCTCGGGCACAGACTCGGCTCCAAGGCAGCCCCGAGTTTGATCTGGTATTAATTATCCTGCTCTGCAGAGATAAATGCTTAATCCTCTGGCTGTTGACACTGGAAATGGCCCAATCTGCCCCGGGGTGGATATTATCCCAGGGAACTTGGCTTTAGCCATGATCCCACATCATGTGCTGTACAAATGATCACTGGCTTGCAGGGAATGGAGCTCTTAGGGTGCACAGGCTCCTTTGTGGCACAGCTAATCCACAAAAATACATGACCCAAGCCTTCATTGTATCAGGTTTTTCTTATTTCCTCTTTTTTTTTTTTTCTTTGACATAGTATTACAAATTTCATATGGAATTCCTCATTTTCAGACATTCCCTATTTCCTTACAGCTTAGCAGCTTTCCTAGTCCAGCGCTGACAGCAAGGAAAGCTTCCTAAGCAGCACTGCCCAAGGGATGTGGAGATGTGTCTGCACAATCCCTGCTTCTAGTGGAGTTTTCCCTGTTTGCCAGAAGAAAGGCAAATAATCCACATTGCTTCCCTGGTTTTAGACTCCCTGGAGAGCCTAAATCAAGGAGTTTGTGTCAGGGAGAAAGCAGCGATGGTGATGGGGTGGGAAATTGTCCTGATTCCTGGCCAGGCTTTAAGGACTTTGGTTTTTCCCATGTCTGAGCAGTCCCACTGTGTGCCAGGAGGGAAAATTTGTCCCAGCCCCACTGCCCCTGCCCTGCTGATGCATTTTGTGACACCTGGGAGACACCTCCCCCCCTTCCCACTCACACCCACCCTCCTCCCCACTTGTTCTTCTCTACCTTAGAGACCACAGGCAGATTTTAAACTCTGACAGAGAAGTAAGTTTGAAATAAAGTATTATTGCACACGAGTACATGGGAGTGAAGGTTTGCTCCCCATTTAACCATTAAACATGTTTTCCAGACAGCAGAATTCCACACAGACTCCAACAGCTCCACAAATAGCTGCTACAAAGGGTTGAGTACAGGAAATAGGACAGGGGGTCAGTGCATGGTGGGACTTTTTCTTCCCCTAAAATCACAGTTAAACAGTTCTTTAGCTTAGAGTGGTGCCTTGGAGCTCTACACTCAGTCATACACAGGAGCAATCCCTGCTTCCAGGAAGCTTCCAGTCAGCTGTGGGAAACCAAGGCAGTGGGAAGGGGAACACTTTACAAAATCAGCGAGTGTGGGCTGGGGGCAGATCACACAGGGCTGCAGGACGTGGAGGGGGAGAGCTGAGCACCCACCTGAGGCAGGTGCTGCTCTTGACCTAACGTGACACAAGGCTGCAACTCTTTATTGACATTAATCTGCCTGCTCTCACCACCCACCCTTTAGAGAGGTGGCTGGAGCCTTCTGCAAATTCCTTCTACAAATTCCTGCAGAAAAAAAAGGAGCTTGCTGGGAATATGACACACTGAGCGAGCTTAAGTTTTTTTTGTAAACTTTGTTTGTTTTACCAGAGCAGTTTTTCTAGTCTTAGTCCAATGGAAATAAACTTTCAGCCCACCTGAATGCAGAAGTTTATATCTGCCACCATTGTGCTCAATTTAATCCCAGAATCACAGTGAGGCAAAGAACTGAGAGTAGAAAAAAAGCTAAGCTTTTTATGGGATTTGTTTTACTCCTTAACAACACGATGCAGAGAGGGGCTCTTTGCTCCTGGGCACTTCACCTCAGCTGTAAGGCTGCGCTGAGATCTCCCAAGGACAGGATGGGAATTTGAAGCCCAGCCAGTGAGAGCATGAGAAAGGGCTCCAAGCCCTCATATCTGAGACAAGAAAGGGGGTTCTGCAGAGTAAAACACCATTTTTCAATTCAAACTCCTTAGGTCTGTTCCCCACTCCCACACTGCCTTGAGAGTGCACATTAGTAAATCTCCTTTCTCTCTCTCTGTGTCCCATCTCTTTGTATCTGAACCTTGGTGCTGGGACAACCCCAAATCAGTGCTGCACCACCCCAGCAAAGCACCACATCCCACACTGGCAGTAATCACAAATTACTTCCATCTGGAGGACTGACCATTCAGTCATTTGCACAATTTCAGAGCTGGGTGTTAAAAGCAGGGAGAATTTGGGCTTCCTGGCAAAGGAGAAGTGTCAGCTCATCCTTCCAGTGCCACATCCAGGGTGTGTTTCAGACTTTTGCCCTAACCTGGAGCTGGCAATGGATAATTTGCACTCCATGATCCTCTTCAGCAAAGCCTCTTACTATTATCCCTAAGGAATGACAGACCACAGTCCTGGAGCTCCAAAGCCACACAGCTCACTAGGAAGCAACAGCAAACAAGAGCAGGAACATCTGGGAGGCCACCAGGCACAACAGGGCTCTGCTGCATCACCTCTGGCTCAGGGTGCCTCGTCCCCTCCTGACAGCCGGGGTGGCAAATGGAAGCAGGAGCAAAAAGGAGGGGAACAGAGGAAGTGAAAGACAAGGTGAAGCAGCTGCTCCAAGCAGATATTTCAGGATTTATCTGACTCCTGCTTCCCAAACTGCTGCTTGGCCATTTGGGATTATCCCAAAGCATTCTCCACCTAATCTACTCTTAAACAACTTAACACCTCCCTTCTTCTCCAAGCAGGTGGCAATCTACCATCTCTGCAGCCTCCCCGCTCAGAATGGCTCCAGTGGTGATGCAGAATTGATTTGCTTCATGACAGTGGATTCTGCAGGGTCTTGGGGTGTCCTCAGAGCTCCCTAAAAATCTATCTGCTTGCAGCAAAATGATCCCTCCCTATATTTTCACACAACACAAGCACAGAGCAGCTCACACTGTTGTGTATCCATGATTGAGCAGCTCCTTTGGGAAGAGCAGGATAGGCGTGTTGGAGTCACACTGCCTTCTCTCCAGACATGCCATGGAGCATCCAGCTCCAAGAAACTGCAGGCAGACTCTTCCAGCCTGGTATGGCCTGGTTCAGAGAGATGAAACCATCTGGTACAGCAGCACGGACAGCACATGTGATCCTGCATGGTTCACTGTGTGGAGCCTGCTTTGATCTGCAGAGAACACCTTCACCAGCCCATGCAGCACTGCTCAGTCCGTGTTTCTGCCAGAAAATGCACCAAAGTGCTCTGTGGGTGCATGCTCTGAGTCCTTTAGCACTCCCAGGAACCTGACTGGCTCACAAAGCCACTCAAGTCTTGGACAACCTGGAGAAGCAGCTCCAAATCCATGTTCCATGACCTGAGCAGCTTCCCAGCTCCTGCACGGAGCTGCTGCAGCAGCAGGCACAGCAAAGCAAGGCCCAGTGACACAGCCATGAGCAGCAGAGCTCAGGCAGTGCTCCCAGGCCCTTTGCTGGGGTCTAACCCACTGGCTGTCCATCACACACATCCAGGGCTCCCCCTGGGCTCAAGGGACTCATTCCTCTTCCTGAGCTTCCTGTGACAACCACATGGATGTGGGAGCTGATTGTGTCCCACATGGCTCAGCTCTTTTAGCCTCTGCCTTCCAGGTGACTGTCCCAGGGACTAAAAGGTGACTCAGAAAGCACAATATAAATGAGTCCTAAAGTCCAGCCAAGCCACCACTCCTTCCTAGCCTGAGCAGAGTCAAATTCCCAGGATCACAGCCTGCCTGCACCTGTTTGATGGAGAAGTGCAGCAGTGCAGGGAGAAGCAGCTGATCTTTGTCCCTCTCACCTCGCAGGTATTTGGGCAGGTGGGTGCTGAACTTCAGGACCACATCTCTACACCCCATCTTCCTTCTGGTGACACAGATGGTGCAGGGCAGGCCCAGGGCAGGCTGCTCAGACAGCAGGGACAGACTGCACCTGCCCTCACCTGCCCTGCAGAAACATTCATCAGCAAGATCCCATCACACCAACTCTCTCAGTGCCAGGTGGACCCTGATGCCACAAAAGCAGATCTCTGTTCTCTGGCTGTAGATGGTAGAGATGCTCAGAAGGGTTTGTGGTTCCAGGCTGGGTCATTCCAGGCTCTCCATCAGGTCAGCAATGGAACAGCTGCTGCACAGCATCTCCAGCCCCTCACACTGGGTTTGATCCACCACCCAGCTGAAACAGAGAAGTCTGGAAGCAGCACTGGCTGGAGAAATTCCTTACAGGAAGCTCCCAGGCACGTTCAGGAAAGGCTGAAAATCCAATCACTCCATGCCTGTGGCTGCTTCTCTCCACTGCTGGGGCACCAGGCCTGGCTAAAGTGCTGGGACACCTTTGTCCAGGCCACTGCAGGCACACGGAGTGGCAGCTGCAGCCTCAGGCTCCTTGCTGGAGTCCTTCAGAACCAAGAACTCCAGCAGAATGTCCAGGAGGCAAAACACCAGGTGCCTGGAATGGAAAAAAGACAAAGCTTAGGCTGGTCAGGGCGTGGGAGGCAAAGCTCAGCACAAGGAAAGAGTGTTCCAATGCTCCAGGGGAGAGAGGAACAATACTGGGTCCCCAGAGGAATGTTTCCAGAGGTGGTTCAGCTCTTTTTCACCTCCCCCAAACCAGTGGGTGTTGAAGTTGCTGAGCAGCACAGAAAACACTAATGCATCTTCTGGAACAAAACATGCTTAACAGGATCACTGAATCATTGAAGGCAGAAAAGACCTCTCAGATCATTGAATCCAACCCGTGCCCAATCTCCACCTTGTCAACCAGACCAGAGCACTGAGTGCCACATCCTGTTGTCCCCTGGACACCTCAGAAGATGGGGGCTCCAACACCACCCTGGGTAGCCCTTTTCAGTGTTTAACAACCCTTTCAGTGAAGAAATATCTCCTGATGTCCAGTCTGACCCTCATTAATCAGCTGTCCATCACAAACAAACCCTCATTTTTCAGACTCAGAGCACTGGGAATAGACAGAAACACCCCCTACACAGACCTGCAGCTCCTCCAGGACCAAACTAAACCAGGACCTGCCTTACTTCCCTGACATCCACTAACTAGGCAGGCCAAACAACACAAATAACATGACTGGCACAATAATCTGCAGCCAGACTGAGCTCCTGGGCATGCAGGTGCCCCCTGATATTGCAATTCTGGAATAATAAGCTGGATGTGTTTGGTGGCAAAGCCCTGGGCACAGCTCTCAGAGCCACCAGGGTAAAGACCACAGTCACATACCTGTTTATCACAGGCTGGCTCAGTGACTCCAGCACCAGGGCCCAGCTCATCCGACACTTACTGGTCCCAAGGATTTCCTGGATCACGCCTGGAAGAGTTGGAGGCAAAGCTTTAGGAAGTGCATGTTTGCACAGGTCAGTCTGCTCCTGGTGGGTGCTGGATTGAAGTTTATGATGGTGCTCTGGGCTGGGAGAGGAGGGAGTGCAGAAAAGCATTCCTGGCTAGAAGGGCACATACCAGCAGTGCTTTTTCATTCCCAAAGGACAGTGAGGGCCCTTTACACTGCATCAAGGAGTTAAAAGTTCAGACTGCACTCTCACAGATTAGGCAGCAGCTGCTTTAATGCCAAAGGTCCCCGTGTCAAACTTCAAGAGAGGGACACCCAGTGCAGCAGGGCTTGGGATTTCAGTCCAGTGAAAAGCCACAGGCTTTGCAGGGTGACTTTCCTCACCATGGAACCCTCTGGCAGCAGGTGGGAGCAGAGCTGTCCTGAGCCCTGCCTCAGCACTGTGAGCACTGAATCACAGCCTGGCTACACAGAGGAATGGCCCAGACTCACATCCCTTTCCTTCCCTTCCCTCCGAGCTGGGCTGCTTCCCAAACCCTTACACAAACTATCCAGAACTGGAAAACTCTGGGTTTTGCTTGCAGGAAACCATCAAACCTCAAGGGTCACGAAGGTTTCCCAGTGCCTTGGCACGAGCAGCCTCCATCTCTGTATTTAACCACATTTCCAGAGATTCCAGTGCACTGGAGTGTTCCCCAGCTGCTTTCCTATCCCAAGGGCAGCTGACAAGTCTCTGGGACACACTCACTGGGCAAGATCCCCATCAGGCTCTGCAGGGCCTGCTCTGCTGTTGCCTTCTTCTGCTCCTCCGTCCTGGGGGCTTTAGGCACTGCTGGTAAAACTCCTCCAGGCCAGATGGATTCCTGGAGCAACTGGAGGTACTGGACCCAGCGCTGGGTGCAGGTCAGGGTAATCATCTGCACTTCCAGCCACCTGCAGAAACAGGGAGAGGGAGAAAGGTCAGGAAAAGTCCAGCTTGGGACCCAGTTGGGGTATTTCCATCCATCAAAGAGGGTTAAATCAGCTAATTTGGGTTTGTTAATGTGCAGTTTTCATGTCTGTACACCTAAGACTTCCACAAGTCTTAATTAACTGAGTTTTCCATACACCAAAAGTGAGATATGTTCCCTGTGTTATTGACAAATAGGACAAGCAAAGGCCATAAAAAGCCCCATCACCCTGCTAATCACAGGAAGCCAAGTGAATCACTGGTCACTAAAGGAAGCCCAGCTCAGGGATACCACTGGCCTGAAGCTCCCAAGTTATCTCCAAGCACAATCTGAGAGAGGGCTGGAAGAACTGGTGTTTAACTACAAACAACCCAGGAAGGACTGGAAGGACATGAGCCCTGTTCTGGCCTCCTCTGCTCCTCTCATCAGTCCCTCTGCTACCAAGACAGGCAAGGATGTCTTTCCTGGAGACCAAAACACACTCTAAGGATGACAAGCCATGAATATCCTGATCCTTCACCCCCCTCTCATGCTGCCCTGCTGTCCAGTAGTCCTGCTCCATCCACTGATGGCAAGCAATGAAATAACAGAATCCCCAAAGGTTTGATTTTGGGACCTTAAAGCTCATCTCATTCCAGCCTGGGCAGGGACAGCTGCTCCAAGCCCCATCCAACCAGGCCTTGGACACTTCCAAGGAGGGGGCAGCCACAGCTTCTCCAGATACTCTGTGCCAGGGTCTCCCCACCCTCACAGCCAAGAATTGTTTTGTTTCCATCCAGAATCCAACAGAACTGCTGGTGGTCCCTCCTTCTGGGGCAGGACTGTGCCCCTTCTCCAGTAACCACCTGCAAATCCCAAAATCCAGCAGCACAGAAGGGCTCGGAGGCGTTTGCAGCTGCACTGGATGATGTGTCCCCACCACCCAAGGGCTGGCCAGGCACAGTTTCTAATCAACATATGGATGGACCCTCTTGCCCAGATGTGAAATCACTTCCCACACCACAGCACAAGCTACAGCCATCAGTCAGAACTTGCACTGCCTAAAATCTGTGCCCTCAGAATGAGGAGAGGCTGTGGATAAATCCCACAGGTTCAGCAGGACTCGGGGAGCTGCAGTGCTGGTGCTGTTGGCCTCACTGGCAGGAGGCTCTGGAGCAAAGCTGGGAGTGTCAGCACGGCGCTGGGGAAGGGAAAAGGCTTGTGATTTCGCCAGTTCTTCAAGATTCCCAGAGGACAGGAGTCAGCCAGCAGGGCCAGGAGACCCGTTCCTCTTGGCAGCTGCTGTTCGTGCTTGCAATTCCGTCACCACTACGCCCCGGCAGCTCCGAGTACATCCAAGAGCCCTGCCAAGGCAAACTTTATTTAACCTGCGCTCTGCCAGACTGTCTGCATTCTTCCTGGGCGAGGCACTCGGGCCAAGGGTGTCCTTCCCCACACAGCTGGGCAGTGGGAATAGCAACACCCAAAGGTAAGAAGGGCAAGGGAAGCAGGTTGGCATCATGTGGGACAGGGCTGTGGTGTGGGGATCCCTTTGGCAGCAGGAAATGAGGTGCAAACAGCCATTCTAGAGGGATGCACACCTAGGGAACGCCAGCTGGAAAGCAAAGGACATCAAAAAACCTGAAAAGGAGCCTCAGTGCAGTGGTAATGTCAGCGTTCAAGAACACACATAATCATGGGATATGATTATATGCAGGTCAGGGGTCCAGACCCAAATCTGACTCCGACACGGCTTTCAAGCTGAACGTATTTTATATTCTATCCTTATATAACTTACATATTATCTATTAGACTTATATTATTCTACTGTATACATTGACATGAGTTTCTCGTGATCTTTCTTAGGTCCCTGACCACAGTTTCTCATGATTATTCATATGATTAAACAGTAATTATATTTAATTACTAAACAATCATCACATCTAACAATTATATCATTTATCATGTACAGGTGCAGTTCTAGCAAGTACAAGTTCTCCATGTGCTTAGGGTGTTCATTTTTCCAGGGCCTACTAAGCTTATTTATTTTCCTTTTAACCCTTAATCCCCATGATTTTAAACCCCTTTTACTGTCAGTAAGGCCTGGGATGTCTCAGAGCAGGGGACACAGGGGATGTTCCCAGTGCTCCCAGGACTGGCACTGGAAATGGGGAAGCACATCCTTCGTGCTCAGTGTCGCCACGGACACAGAGCACAGATGCTGCTACAGGACAATGCCAGAGGTGCAAACCTTCCACCTGACTTAGAGGACAAAATGTCACATCCCAGGCCTGCCTGGGAAAAGCCATGTAGGAAATACAATTAAAAGGGTTTTAATCTCCAGCCATCAGCAGATTTTAACACTCTAGATCACGGTAAACCCTCCAGCTATTCCCAAGCAAATTAAAGTGTTAAACTGTGACTTCTCTAGGGGCAAGAGTTTTCATTAACACGGTTTTTCATTAACATGCTATTTCATTAACATGGTTTCTTACACAACCTGCTCTCCTAGCTGAGAAAACATCTGACAAGCAACAGAAATTCAGAGACTTGGGGACAGAGCTGCAGAGTGAACCCTGCGCCAGGGGGGATCAGGCTGAACATTGACTCCAAACTCATTACAGCAACAGTTTCTTTATGCGTGTGAAAATCAATAACTTTCCAGCCTTTAAAAGGTTGCAGAAAGCAAAGAACAAGCTTTTTTTTTCTTAGAGACATTCCTAAAATAGCAAAAAAAATCAAGCAAATCGTGAACAGAGAGAAAGTTGAACCTACAGAGGACAGCACATGTTTCCAGACAGCTCAAGAGCAAGCTGAGAACTGACAAATGCTGGAAGGCCCCACAAACAACCTCCTGTTTCCAGCTCACGTATGTCCCTAAAACCACCAGAATTAGGCAACAAGGTCCCCAGGTAACACCTCTAAACGTGATCACACGTGCACATACTGTGAGCAGGCGAGTGCTTACAGGTCTGGGTTCCCTCAGTTGTGAAACACCATGGGTGGATTTCCTTCCTTGGGCTGGCAGCTTTGGGAAGCAGAGGGCAGGATCTGGGAATGGCTCCATGGGTCTTGCCCAGCCCCACACAAGCTCCCATTAAAGGCCAACTTGCCCCATTACATGGTGCTCAGACAGCCAGGGAAGGAGCACCCAAACCCACAAACTTTACAAGGAAAAGTCAAGGAGCTAAACAGGAAATGGGACAAGAAAGAAGGAGAAACCAAAGGCAGGTGCAAATGGAACAGACTAAAGCACCTCTGCTCTGGGCTCCCTTTTGCCAGTCTGTCAGTGTGTGGAGCCATTCCAAAGGCACTGGGAAGAGGAGTATGGGGATTCTGAAGGAGTTTTGAATGAGTTAGAGACAGGATTTCTGAATTTTTTGATGATGTGGTTTCTTTTCTTATCTTCTACACAGGCAGGAGGGGTGAGTTTGGCTCACATCTTTACTGTATGGTTCAGAAGGTCACAAGATCTCAGTTACAAGACATTTTAAGGATCTATTGACTAATAAAACACTGCTAACAAGGATATTTATGTTTTTGACTCAATCTTTAAGTATTTAATCTTATACACTCATGCTATGGTGCAAGTTTACTTAGCTAATCATGTTATGACACACAAACCTACAGTACTGCATTCTAAGCTCCTTGTTTACCTCTGTAGCTTCTTTTATTTTTATATCTTAAACTCTACACTTTCTTCTAATTAATTGAACATGTCTTTGTTTTAAACTATAAATCCACATCCTCATTCTAGCACCTCAGTTTGGAAGCCTTTTCCAAGGTCTCAAATCAAATCTTGTGTTTAATTCTAAGCTTTGCCTTACAGGCCCCAAGTTCTGAGAGTTCTTCACATTTCAGATTCTAACAGAGGAGAACTGTCAAGACTGGTCCATGTGGCTCTAAATCCACTCTGGGATTTGCAGCTGAGGCTTCAAAAGAAAATCTCAGAACACAATGACCTGTCATGAAGAGTTTTCTTCCCTCCTCTCAACCACAGTCAACCATCAACACCCATTTTGGGGAATCACATTCCATTCCAACACACACAGAGGCTGCACCAGCAGCACTTAAACTGTGAGGAGCAAAGAAAGTTAACAGAATCACAGAATATCCTGAAATGGAAGGGATCCACAAGGAAAGTCAAGTCCAACTGCTGGCCCAAGAATGCTCCCTCCACTCCCACGCCTGTAGTTGCAACACAGAGAGAGTCACACCAACTTTATTGAAAATTCCTACCTGAGTAAACCCCAGAAAATGGCAAATTGACCTTTCCATCATGCAAACTTGTTGCACTAGGATCAGGATTAACACCTCAGGAACTCCAAACATCTGCTGGTTCAAGGCTGACCTTCACCAGCAGGTCACAGATGATTTTTTGTGCTATTAAAGGTCTAAGCATTTGAGATTCATGTGCCACACTGAAAGCACACACACTGCTCCCAGGTAGAAATAAATCCACCAAGAAACAAAAATAGACCTATCTTTTTAATTTTTTTTTTTTTTTTGGATGGCTGATGAGTTACTATTTTCATTCTGCTATTTCATAAAGAAATAGCCTGAATAAGAAAGAAAAAATAAACCCATCACAGAACCATCTCCTTACACTTCAGAAATAGATGAAGTGACCTCCTGGGCTCAGAATGCTTTGATAGTGCCCAATGCAAAGAGCCAGACTGCAAAGGCTACTGAGACCTGGAAGATAATCTGGAGGGGCATAACTTGCCCATGCTGTAAGGCACCTCTGTTTGAAATAGCTGCTGGTGGAGGGATGAAATGGCTGCTAAAAAAGAGCCAAATTAATGCCACGGTTTAAGCTGGAACTCCAAGGTCAGCTGAAGGGGTCCACTAGGATAAGAAGGCCCTGGGAACGAGAAATAAGGGCTGGGGGGTGCAAACCTTGGCCTTCCTGGGGCTCCTACATGCAACAAGGGCTGCTAGGAGGGAGGAAAGGCAGGCTGAGTCAGGAACAGGTAAATGGGCTTGGTTTTACCTGGCTGGATC